GCCTTTAGCACTGTCACCTCATCTTGGGATGTTCACGTTATCGCGTGTACATGTCAGGGTGACGAAGATGCATTATTGCTAATAATGTCTGTGTGCACTGATGCACGCTGCATTATTTTTAATAATGTTGTGTGCTATTTTAACGCGTACATAGAATATGACGCGTACAAACATTTACCCCTGAGCCGGAATTTCCCTATACAACCAAAAAAGGCCGCTCCCGTTTTTCAGTAGAACGTTAAATGAAAACTTCTCGACATTCGCTGATATAAAGCAGAGAGAAAACAATAGGTTTGACGAGGGCCAGTAATTATTGTCAATAAAATATTAAAACGGAGCTTTGATTAACTTATTCACCATTTATACTAGTGAACTATTAAACTATCGTGATTTACACAATTTTTGGATATTTACCAGACGATCCCCTATCCACCGACCCGAGGTTAACGCCGAGTCGGCGTCTTGTTTAATTAGCGTTCAGATCCGGATTCAGTATATTGATAAGTTCTTTTTCTTTCATCTCCCTAAAAAGTCTGTCCGTGTTAATGCATTCATATATAGGCATTATTTTGAAAATTCCGTTGTTACACATATTTAAGTGTTCGCTTACTTTTAGATGTCTATACTCTTCGTGTCGAATTTGTTCCTTGTGCAATGTCACTCTTTTTTGTAAGTTTTCTGTCTGGCCGACGTAGAAGCTGTCGCATTTTGAGCAAATGATCACGTAAATGACATATCTCGCTTTGCAGTTCATCGTCGAATTGACTTTCCAGGTTTTTCCGCTCTTTAATGTAATAGACTTTCCTGTGATTAAAACATCGCATGTTCCACATCGCTTTTCCTCGCATTTTGTTACACAGTGTTCTCTGTCCTCTGAATTGAATTGTGCTTTTGTCAAGTATCGCTTCAAGTTCTTCGGTTGGCGTTTGCTTACAATGAGTTTTGTTCTGTCTAATGCTTGTTTCATTTTCTCGGAATTGTTTAGAAATTTAAAGTTCTTCCTTATTTTCCAATTACTTGAGGATTGTTGGGATTATGAGTTATTACTAAAGGCAAGACATTGTCATCAGTTTTATGTTTTGGTGCCCTCAATTCCTCAATGTTCTTTGATGAAACCTTCTGTATTCCGTTTTTTATAAGCAATTTCGGATAGTTCTGCTTTTGTAGGAAATACTCTAGTTCATTAAGACGCTTCTTCTTTAAATCTTGATTTGTTACAATTGCACAGATCCGTCTTGCCAGTGTGTAGGGAATGTTTGATTTTGTATGTCCAGGATGACATGAATGATAATCCAGATATTGGTGTGTGTCCGTTTGTTTGTAATGTATATCACTTTCTAACCGTTCCTCGTTCTTGTAAAGTAGTATATCCAAAAACGGTAGTTTCTTATTGTCATATTCCATCGTGAACTGTATTTTTGGATGAAGTGAATTTAACATTTTATGAAGTTCCTCGAGTTCTGCTTCTGTCTTCTGCCAGGGTAGAAAGCAGTCGTCTAAGAAACGTTTAAACAATTTCACGAAGTTTTCTTTTTCGTCCTGTCCATACTTTTCCTTGAACCTTTCGTACAGTTGTGTCTCAATGAAACCCATAGTTAATGTGGCGTATGTTGGGGCCACTTTAGTGCCCATTGCTGTTCCTTGTATTTGTTTATAATTAATGTCATCAAATTGAAATGTATTCTCCTTTAGGACAATTGAAATGGCCTCCAAAATGGTGTTTGTCCAACCAATGTTCGATTGCTGTGAGTCCAAGATCATGTGGGATACTTGTATACAAGCTGATGACGTCGAATGATACCAATATCGTTTTCTCGATTATATTTGTAGGTATTTTGTTCAGAAAATCCATACTGTCCCGTATAAAACTTGGTACATGTTGGTATAATGGTTTTAAAATCAAATCGACAAAATTGCTTAGTCTATGTGTGGGCGATATAGGTCCAGCTACTATAGGTCTCATCTTTAAGTCCGCTGGTGGTTCCAGTTTGATATAATCATTGTTTTGATCGGTGACAGCATCTGTTATGGTTTTTGATTTGTGTATTTTCGGTAATCCATAGAAATTTGATGTTTCCATTAGGAAATTTGTGATGTACTCTTTCTCCTTCTCAGTAATGAAGTTTTCAAAGTTTTTAATAAGTCTCTTAATCTTTCGTAAAATGGCTTCGTCCTCGTTTTGCGATAATTGTATGTAATTCTCTGTGTCGGAAAGGAGGTATAGCATTTTGTCTCTATAATAAGATTTGTCCATTACCACCGTTGCTCGCCCTTTATCTGCTTGTTTGATTATGATTGTCCTGTCCTTTTTAAGGTCTTGAAGAGCTTTCTGTTCTGCTGTAGATATGTTACATTTCCTAGTTTTCTTCTGGGATTGTTGTTCAAGTTTTGACAAGTCGTTAAGAAATAACATGAGATGTTCGTCCTCTGATCTTGGTGGAACAAAATTAGATTTGTTTTTAGCAAGTGAATTGTCTATGTTCTGCTCTTTATCGTTAAAATATTCTGCTAGGCTATTCTGTAATTATATATATATATATATATATATATATATATATATATATATATATATATATATATATATATATATATATATATAATTGTATGTCAGTTTGTTGATAAATGCGCCATGTAAAGCTCATTGTAGTCACTGAAACCTCTGCGGAGGAGAGAGAAATCGGGTGGCGATTTAATATGAGCTACATTTGCAATATATTTAGCTAATTTGTGATTATTTTTGTTAATTTTATAAGTTCATTGCAGTTTTAATTTAAATTCAGCCGTTTAGTGGGGCTGCCTATGCTATCATTAGATTGTTGTTGTCGTTGTGTGAAATTTAAATTTCTCCTGTGACATTTTGATTGGATACTAAATATAAACTTTGCTGTGGGTGGAAAGCGATCAGGTTAAGTTTTGTGGCAGGCTCTATTTGTAAAATAGAGTCTGATACTCAGGTTAGTGTTAATCGATCTCATCTACTCGTTTTCTTTTCCGGCGCTCTTCGGCTAGCCACTACGTTCGTTAACTATGGACTTTGACAGCAACGCTTTCCTTTACAGCTACTGAATCCTTCCTCGTCTTACATACGGTCAACTGATCTTGGTTAAACTTTATCCGACGCTTTTGATTTGATATTAGCGAGGTTTAGCAAAGACGACGGGACGTCAACGAGGACGTGAAAATGGCGTAAAAATGGCGTGGGCACAGCCATAGATGGGCATATCACGTCATTTTTACGCCATTTTCACGTCCTCGTTGACGTCGCGTCGACTTTGCTAAACCTCGCTAATAACTTTGGAAACGCTTTCCCGGAGCAGTGAAGACCTTTGTTCTCCCTATTTGCTTCCCTAATTCGCGGAATAACAGAATGACAAACTTTAATCTATATCGTTCACCCTTTAACCTTAGCTTCGCACAACAATCTCTATCGCTGCTGGTTCGTTTCACAGCTGTATCGCGGGATGAACGAGACTTGATAGATCCTTTGCTCACGATAGTGAAGCACTCTTTCTCTTGTTAGCACATATCCACTGCCTTTATACTTAATTACTTATTCATAGCTATCTAGTTAATCAATCATATGTCCTTATTTGGTCACAGTTTGGAAAAGGGTTATGTGTGCAATCCGAAGAGCAGTAATTAGAACCGCATTCAGGAAAATATGACTGCTTTTGAGTTCATATTAGAGAAGGAAGACGTGGACTTTTTGAAAAGCTTAGAAGAAGGGTTTCGTAGTTGCCATGATAAAATCAAGCTTCCTTGGACGGGCTAAAAATCACTGATCTGGTTGAAAATACGAATACAGAAGGTGGAGGCACTAGGTGATCGATAGATTTAGGAATCGCAGAATAAAGGGTTTGCGAGTGCGTTTGCGGAGTAACCGACCGAAAAAGCATTCACGTTGCTCCAATGACGTGGAAATCTTAGTTTACTCACAGAGTAATTACACACAAAGGTTTCGCTTCAGATTAATTTAGCGTAAGAGATTTTTCCAGTCCGCCTTGGGTTAGCAAGTGCACTAAAGAGAGGTCGTCACCCGCTGAAAACATCTTGAAATGTAATGTTCCAGGGGAGCGGTGCATGAATACCTCTCTTTAGAGCATTTACGTTATAAACGCGGAACACGAAATGATTCAATGTAGCGAAGCACGATCATGTACGCATTCTTTCAAACTCAACACAAATGGATATAATTGAACAAATAACAAATAGGAAACGTTCCTAAGTGTTTCCTTGATATCTGTTGAGTATTGTGGTTCAATGACAACATTCGCAAAAGCTTAAAAAATCTAGCTAACACATAATGGAAAGCTATATGTGTGTCTGTGCATTCAAGTTCAAAGTATTTTTTAAACAAAAGGTTTTAAGCAAAGATTTTATTTTCATAATTTTTTTACTCTCAGATATGCATAAAAAGCAGTTGTACCCTGCTGTGTTGTTATGGTGTAACAATTCTAATGTTTGGAACAAATAATTTGAAACATTCTTGCAGGCATATTTATTCTCCCTTGTCTAATATTGGTGTGTTTTAATAATCACTATCGTGCATGGTGGTCAACCTGAAGTTATATCAAAGTGAGAAAATAATGTGAAATTTTGTCATTATATTTGTAATGATCTAGAGGTCTAGACTGTTCTGTTTTATTCTGTTTTATTCTGGTCTGTCTCTTTAAAATAAGTTAAAGAGAGATTTTTTCCCTTACTCCTGTCTGTTTCAACATTTCTGACGTTGACCTCCATCTGCTCCACACCACTTGACGAACTCGAGGTGATTGTTTACACTGTTTATATTACCACAAGCCTTGGTTTGGACACAGATATTTAAAGGAATAATAGACATTCACTCCCTTAAATGTCTATGGATTAGGCCAGGGCCAAGCCAACAATCGCAGTTAGTCCAGATTTTATGACCTAGGTCAGGTCTAGGTTAATGTTTGGTTACACTAGCAAAATGTCGACCAAATCAAGGATCAGGCCATGCCTAGCTTGCAATGTAAACACGGCTATATAGATTATAGTTAATGTATTTCGGATATAATGATTACAGTCTAAACATTAATACAGATCGATATTTTATATTTAAGTTGAAAAGTCCAGTTATTTAACAAATGTATAGGCCGACTTGCTTTTCTATATTGAGTGTATCCACTAGATAAACCAAACGGGCTTCGTACAAGAGCCACCTTAAAACCCAGTTTCCTTCTGATTAACGTAATCGTTGTGTACTTCCATTTGATTGGTATATAATTGACAATCATTTTCCTCCTTTCCCGTCCAGTTAGTTGAATACATGTACGTCGATTCTTTATTTTCTACTTGTTCATAGTTCGCATCATCATCGTCAGGATTTTCATAAATATCGTGTGAACTATTTCTGTCTTTGCTTTTGTTCTCCAGGTTTGCCTTTGATGATTTGAGTCGACGATTTTGACAAATGAAATAAGCAAGGATAGCGAGTAAAATTATGACAAAAATTGCTAATACTATATATATTAAAGCAAGATATTTTCCAACATCTTCTGCACCTATGTGAAAAATAAACAACGCGTTAAATTTGAATGTCTGAAAATGTGTGAATTTGGAACACGCATTCATTCAAGATGACTCGTTTAAAACCGAAATTATTTCCATAATAATAGTATGTCTTGCTGTTCTTGCACTTGTTTCAAAACTAAATTTCAAACATCCATTTTCAGTCAACAATTTTAAGGAAAACATTCTCCAAACAGAAATCCCTGCTCTGCCCTGCCCTGCCCATGGCTCCGTTCTGTTCTCATTAGGTTTTATTGTATAAAAAAATGAAGGATGAATAAATCGAATGCACTATTACCTGTATCTTTTTGGATCGAAATTGTATGAGTAGTGCTTTGAAATCGATCTCGGATATGACAGATATATTTTCCAAAACTTGTTTGGTTTTCCACTGTTACAATAAGTAATGAACTGTGATGAGGCTTCTCCTTTTCCATAAAACTTTTCAGTAACTTCTGGTCTTTCTCCCAGCTGAAAGTAATTGGAGGTTCACCATGAGCAGAACACAGTAGGTTGACAAGGTCACCTTCCTTTGCCTTTATGTCACCACTGGATATCTTGGTCAATACATGCGGAACACCTGGGAAACAAAAATATGCAAAATGATTTAAGAATTTGTAATAATATACTGTCTTTATAAATTCACATTTCAATTGTTGTAAATGAATAGTATATTTCGTTATGATAGCATCATATATCTAGCTCAAGTATCAGTATAGAATTTTCTTGAGAGCTAAACATACCTAAATATTCACTCGTTTTTGAAACAGAACTCCAATCTGTCGAGTAATAGTGATTCTGTAGTAAAGAAAGTGGTAGTATATTTTAAAGTTGAAGATACCTGATGCTTGTGATGTTATTCTGAGTGTATATTCACACCGGGCAAGCTTGAAATATATGCCTGGCCACGGTGGAGATTGAACCTACAACCTTTGGAATACTAGCCCATTACTCTGCAAACTGAGCTACGCAGTCAGGTCGGTTCAGGTCGATTCCTTCAATATCAATACTGAGGTCGGAGGTTCGATTCCCAGCGTTGCCAGGCATATTTTTTAAGCTTGCCCGGTGTGAATATACACTCAGAGAAACATCACAAACATTATATTCACCTGAGTACATTACACCAACACAGAAAAATTAAAGATACGTGTTTAACACTAAATCAGTTCCCTCAAAAATTTCTTACAAATCCTTCAAAACAAAGAATTCACCCATGCAAACTTCCCACTGTGATCACAGAAATTTTGATAGCGTAAACCAGGCTTATAGACAAGGAAAACTTAATTTCTAAAGTGTGATAACCAGCAAGTACGACCATACCTTGTCATTGAGCACAATCCTTTGAAAAATACTGTAACTAGTGTCAGGCTCCAGCGGACCATTATAGTAATCACTCGAGGTTAATATACGTCTTCGTGATGTTGGATCACTTGTATTTCTGCCATCACCAAGCACAAACTTGTTTTCATCCTTTAATGTTACTATTGCAGCGATATAAGGTTTCGGGTTGGTTGATTTTTCTGCCTCAGCGTACGTCACCAAATCATTATTTTTATAACTATCTGGGGATTGAACTTTTTTTCCGTCTTTCAATTTCAGAGCCACGACGTAGAAATGCCTACAAACAAATTTGTCTGTGATAAAATGCACAAGGTAAATTCACAGAACAGATTTATAACGTCCTGTTCAGGTCGTTATTGCAAGATACAATATTTCTGTTTGGCGAGTTTTCGAACCTTATCGACTTACGTGAAATTTCGTGATGGAATTCGCAAGGAGAAAGTCAGTGTATATACTGTTCCACTTGTGGACACCTCTGGTTGTTCTATATGAAAATATGTAGATTTGATAAAACATGATAAACTACAAGCTGCATGTTTATAAAAATCGCATTACGTCTAGATGCAAGGCGACACTTACTTCCATTGACAATTTTTCCTTCACTTTCACTGTAGATTCCACGCCCACCTTTAGTACTTGCAAGAACACGAACATAATATTTGGTTGAGGCAATCAAATTGTCGATGACTATCATCTTTTTCTTTGTAGTGTATTCCCTAAAACAAGGTTTACTTTCTTCGTGTGAGATACACACAGTATAACTGGCGATAATACCATTTCTTTTGTTCTTTTCAGGAGGTTCCCATGTAACAAACAATGATGATGAGCTTTCTCCAGTCACTTTGACATTCAGTGGAGGACCTTCTGGAGCTAAAAATCAAATCAGATAATAAGGTAATCTGTTTCTTATAAAATAAAATATATTATAATATGGCTTTTCAGATTCCTGGATTCTGATTGGTCGACGTGCGGTCCGTAAAATGCGTATCTGGACCGTGGACCGTATGTCGAGGGTGGGAAAGGGTTTTCGTGAGCCGTGAATGGTCAATATTTGTTTGCGTGAAATGTGAAATGCTTGATTTTAGTGTCGTGAAATGTGATTTGTTCTACAGCCGTGAGGCGTGATTGTCGATAAAAATGCTCTGTCAAATGAGAATTAAGGATGTCTGTTTCGTGAACTGCGATTTTACTCTGTTTATTTCGATCTATTTTATATTAGTCATAATAGACATGATACGCGATAATCAATTTATATGATCTCACTCGATTGCACAAGAGTAAAAACTTCGGAGGCTTTTCGGAGGTCGTCGAACATACTCGTCACTCCAACTTCTAAGTTATGATGTAGTTTTTAACTGACAGGTTGTACCATGCATTAAACATACTCTTAATAAACCTATTATTATTATATCATTTTATTAGAATCTAGTTTTCCGTGAAATTGCTTTTTTAAGACACGTGAATGGTGAAACGGCATGTTTTTACGTTGTGAAACGTGATTCATACCCCCCCCCCCCTTTCCCACCCCCTATGTCAATTTGACAGGCTCGAATTTGAAACGTTTTTACACGTTTATAAGGTCGTTATGTGAAGAAAAAGTATACTTGGATCATTTTTAAGAATAAGAAGTCTTGGAAATATTAATAAGTAGTTGTGCCAACACAAATTTCATCGAAAAAGCTAAGAAAACAAGCCATTTGAACTCTTTATACTGGCAACCGTAAGTTTTGGCGGGAAATTTTTTTGATTTGTTTACTTGTTTCAAAAAATAAATAAAGATGAATTTAACGTCTTTAATACCATATTCTAAACAAATATCATATAAACTAAGTTTATAAGCATTTTTTCTGGGGGTGGGGGTTACCGAAAAAGTAGTTCTAAAACGATTGTTAGACATGCTTTTCCGTAAACAATATTCGGTGACGAAACCAAATCTAAACGAAGAAAACTTGCAAATAAAACATAGCTCAAAAATACCTTTATAGCGCTCAAACAAATATATGAAACCATATAATAAACGGTTTATTAACCTCGTTTTGCTCGGTCTGTACGGGAAAGTATTTGCCTTCGGTTTATCCGCACAGACCTCGTTCATTCGTCGCTCGGTCTGTACGAAAACCTTAGGCAAAAACTTTCCCGTACAGACCTCGCTCTCGGTTAATAACCCTTCACTAGTTACAGGTGTATGGGGAGGAGGAATGGTTGATATAATAATGCGTGACAATTGTGCTGAATCTTAGCCATGGTGTACGATAATATCCGAAATATCACCATTCTGTGCAAGAGTTGTTCAAATTCCATATAAAATGGGAACTCCCCTAGCAGAACCATGCATGCAGCCACGCTGCAAAAATAGAGGTGCTAGAATAATGTTGAATGTGAGCAGTGACGTAATTCATTCTATTTCTTTGTGTGACTTGAGTTGTGAACCACTCAAAACAGAAAGAAAGAAGGCTAAAGCAAAATGATGTATGAAGTATATTAAATAAAATGGGTCCCAAATCGCTCAAAAATCTATATATCATATCAATATGAGAAAAGTAAACTATCACCTTCGGGACATTTCAACTGATCTTTGTTTACCAAAGCCTCGTTCTAATAGCATGAAAAATAGTTTCATGTATGATGGCCATACAAAGACCGAACAAAATTATATTCCGAACGAAAATTAGGGAATAGCTTTAAATTTTCTTATTTTTTGTCTATCTATGACCATTATTAAACGCTATATGCTAGCTTTTCATCGCCATTGGTTACTATCGCATCTAAACTGCATGTCATTATCCATACATACCACACATCTCTTTTAAAGGTGTTGATGTATTAACACATTGATATTCAAAGTAAAGATATTTTGTCAATCCAGAACATGGTCCACCAGAGAACAAGTTGTCATCCACAGTCATATTACACTCATGTTGACCATCACATTGTTTCTTAACAAGACACGTTGCATTGACTTCACAAATATAATCATCACTCAAACCACATGTTTGTGTGGCAGGCAATCCACGGTACGATGCATTCTTGACCACCATGTACTGATCTTTAGGACAGTTGGCATTCTTTACCATATTTCCATGACACGTCACTGAACCTGGAAGAGAACAAAAATTTAGAAATGACGAGCATTAAATGACAATATAAAGTACGGCAAGAAATTTTTTGAACGCCATAGCGCGATGTACGCGAAAAGTTTTTGAAAGAAATTCAGTACTAGTATTATATGAAATATTTCGAACAACTATAGAGTCTTGCTCGTGATTTACTTACGTGGCTCTGTCTTCGGATATACGTTTTAATTTTTTCATCCATGACATAAAATAGTTCAGTTTTTTGCTTTTGTGGACAAAGTTAAGACGTCAGCAGTTCACGATTGCTCATATTCAAGAGGTAATTGAATCATTCTTATATGTTTATGAAGAAGGTATAAACCTTTTACTGTGTACATACATGCAGATAGGTCTTATTACAAATGGTTTACGTCTAGCCTCTAGGCTGGCTTAGCGGCAATGGTGCACCATGGGTGAAAGTAAATATGAAAAGCAGCCTGGAAAACCACAAGTAGCCTATAAGGAGTAAGGAGTCAACTTTTTATGTGGAAAGAAACAAATGGACTGCATGCGTACAAATAAAACAAAACTTACCAAAATTAAAACGTTTATCCTCTGCATCGTTACAATTTGTCGTTAATCCGACGTAGAGATCTATTCCTTGATTTTCAATTCCGCAATTTGTTGAAGGAACTACACACCACGTCTGAAATGTGCTCTTATCATAGCCTTTATAATATACAGATAAACCTCCCCAAGAGGTCTGGGTTACAGCATGTTTCTGAACACAATTATTTGAAGGATCTGTAGCAACGAACATATACAACATATCAAGATAATAACCAAAGCCACCCCTAAATGTTGCCTCGAAACATCCCTTTCTTTTCAAATTGAACATGGCACCAGTATCACGAAATCGAAATTGTGCATCTGGATCCAGACAGTTGTTGGAAAGTTCCACAAAAGATAACTTTCCCCAAGTCTCCTCCGATTGTAGTAGTCTTGTGTCATTTATACACATCCCTGTCTGTACATGTTTCACAAAGAAGCAAGCAGCGCCTAAAACAACAAAAACAAAACGATCAAAATAAATAACGAAGTATATAATGGACTCCTATTGCGTGTCTGTGTTTTTGCGTTTATATGAAGTACCAGGTAAATAGATGGTTGTTGATGGCACAGTGTTTTTAGTACTGGGATAATTAGCACTACAAATATATAATTTAATTAAATATATTTTCCAAACTATCCCACTTTTGTAAGCAAATTTCATAATTATAACCTGTGTACACCAGTTACAGATACAGTATTTATACCATCCATCATTTTATATTCTAATGACATATACAGCTTATATCAAATTATATTTGCACAGACAAAGCATATATATAAACATGCACTCAACTATGGTAGGCGAGCAAGCCCAGGTAATCATCTTTGTTTGCAAAATATCCAGCTAGTGTAAAGTAATTATCCAATAACTCAGGCAATGCCAAGCAAGACCCCTGTCATAAGGCATGCCTGCTCATTTCCATATAAAACAAGACGCCTGCTCAGGCGTTCACACTGGCCTGAAAATAACGACATACGTGCTATGGTGCAAAAGGCAGGAATACAAATCTTAAACCGCAAGCAAATTTTATGGACTTTTTAAAAAAATAAAAGACCTTTTCGGGAGTCATGGTGCAAATTTATAACTAGGAGTTACTATCGCAAGGAAAGTGCTGCCTTTTTTGGCATAATTATGACCTGAATGCAAAAATTTATACTTCTAGACAATTCTCGGTTATATCTCCAATGTTTCCTGCACAAATTTGTTTCTCGTTCATCATTTAAGCCCGTTCACAAACTCGTTCTTAAATTGTGTGCACGGAATACGAGTAAATAGCGAACATGAAAATGAAGCCATTGGGTCAAAAGTGGATATTAACCTATTAGCTGCCAACGCACACTACTTTAGTATTAAACTCTGGCTAACGCCAGAGCAATTTACACTGTGTAACGCCAGACGATTTTACTTGTTAGTGGCAGACTACTGTCAGTAAATGGGTTAACAAACACTTCAGCCAATGCTCTTATTAACCCATTAATAGGCAATGCACCCTGCTTTGGTATTCTTTAGTAACTCTTCAGAATTTGCTCAGAGTCAATGTGAGTAAAATACATCTTGTATTCAAGCGCTTTCATGTACAAAGTTTCGTTTGAATACGGCACAGAGTAGGAATATTTATTTTGAATTTTTTAAAATATCAGGTTTTTACTCGCACGCACGTTTATAGCTCGATCGATGCACGTGTAAATCATGCCGACCTACAGAATCGATTTCCGGTTTTTCCTAAACAGCGCGTTGTTTTGATGTGCGTTCCATAGGCCGCGCTAAAAATATAAATATTCTATAAATACCGAAATAAAAGATGAAAATCTCAAGACACAAGCTTGAAATAACACTATAAATAGTGTTTTCGATTCTGGTTCCAGTAATATTAGGCCTATTACGAAAAAGATATGTCCAAAGGGGCCGAAGTTATGTTCGGCAAAATGTATGGCTAGTTTACATTGTCTGTTATATTATGAAATATGATACCATACTTGAATTAAAATTCGCCTCGAACGAAATGCGTTTCTTCGAGGTAGACTTGTGGCAAGTTTAGCAAATGAGAACCATACAATAATGGTTCTAGTTCTTGTTTGTATTTTGAACGAACGCCGATCTTTAGTATGGCTACCACAAAGCTTTTCGCGCGGATTATCGTAAGGAATTAGGAGAGTTTGTCCTTGTTTATATTCCAACATATTGTATAAATTCGCTGGGTACAAATTTATGAAATATTGGGGTTTTCGAGTCGTTTAATTTAATACAAAAAGAAAAACATTAATTCAACAGGCAAGAAAGTGCAGAGTGCGACGCAAAAATTAACACAAGTACACAACGGATGTTATGAGTCCACGACGTAGATTTATAGAGCCAACAGATCACGACACTTTTGTATATAAAAGGAGCGTGTGAATTAAACAAGTCACATATTATTAGCATTGATGAAGATCCGGGCTAACGGATTGAAAGCTTTGCAGTAATAAATATATTTACGTGGTGTTTTCACAAATAAAACCATTATATTTATAGTTGTTTATTAAAAAGTCAAACTGTCAAACCTTGAACTTGTCCTTGTTTAAATATCCTTCTATATGTTGTATAAATTCGCTGGGTCCAAATTTTGTGGTTTTCGAGTCGTTACACAAAGAAAAACACATTAATTCAACACGCAAGAAAGTCCAGAGTACGACACAACGTAAAATCCATAGGAAACCGGCACAATTCTTTGAAAATTCAACGAAACTGTGTAAAATATAGTTTGATCAGTCTGTGAAAAGCCGCCATTGGAGTTCGGAATTGTGCGCGTACGAAAAAGGTACCACAAGCATTGCACGAGTCAGCTGTTACGTACATATATACGAGCTTATTACTATATTAACTCATGGAATCGAGGGACTCGATGGCATTTTGGCTTAATCGCTGCACCCTGAGCCTGCGATGAGCTAACGCAAACTCGATTTCTCGACTACGAAAAAAAAACAGAAAAAGAGGGATTTAAGACACTTGGCCTACAGGCCAGTGTAATAAAATGAAATAGGAGATACCACTGGAAGTTGCAACTTGAAACAATTACCTTTCATGTAAACTCCCCCTTAGTTTTCTAAGTTCTAACCAATGTTGCATCACTATTAGAAATCTCATTAACCTGCAATTATGCTCTGTAATTACATACAGAGACTGATGCAAGTCTTGATCCATTCAGAGTTACTTTCCACCCACACTATAGTTTTATTTTTGGTATCCAATCAAAATGTACCAGAAGAAATGTCAATTTCACATAATAACAACAAGCTAAATATAGTTACAATCACTAATTGAGATGAAATTTGCCTCAGTAAAGCGAGCTGTCAAGTTTAGTATCAGGGAATGGTTTGCCTCCAGACAAGCAAATCTCTGTAAAATGTCAAACTCCTCTCACCCAACCACTAACATCTTTCTGGTCTTTCTAGAATATAGAGCGATAGCAGTAATAGACACAAACTGTAATTATTTTGTTATTACATACATATTAATATATTAATTGTGGACCCCATTTTCCACTTTATACACTTCCTGAAATGAACAATTTACTACAATGTAAAAATATAGAGAAATTTAACTTAAGGAAGCCTCACATATCGATTTTTCCACGAGAAACGTCATATGTTCGTTTGGGGGTGGGGGGTTTGCAGCTGTGACGTTTCTCTGTAAATATCATGGAAAAATTCGATAGTTTTTTCGAAAGCCTTAACATTTCGGGAACCAACTTTGCAGAGTATAAAAAAGAAAACAACTTGATACAAACACCAGTCTATACATTCGTAATACCATACCTGTTCTACACGTATACATTTACATTATTACGCCTTCCTTGCATTGAAAACACTCAAATTTCAAGAAAACCGCGCTAAAATTATCAATATTTCATGCAAAAAAAGTAGTTTTAAGAAACGTTGGAAATTTTGAAGTTCATATATA